ATCTCCATACCTAGGTTGAGGTCTTAAAAATGGTAAATTGACGTAATATATAAAAAGAGAACCACGTAATCTGAAACCGAGGTGCTCCTGTAAAAAAAAGTACTGACCAAATGAAGTGCACATTAATTTCAGAAACAGCTCGAAGATGTATTTTTAATCATTTCTGAAGTTTGGAATGGGGAGCCAAAAAAACACTAATTGATAGTGTTGTGTCATCTTTTTCCAATCAACAGACCAAGATATAGAAAAAATTGATGACAACAACCTAACAGTATGCAGGACCATGTTCCTTAACACTCTCTCAATTGGTAGAATGGTCATATTAGAATGGAAAAGGAAATCAAAAGGAGCTAAAGAAAACAGAGGAAAAACAGAATGATTCAAGAAAAATAAGCCATATGAAAAGGAGCGGTCAGCGCTAAAAAGTTTTATAGATTAAATTCCTAAAATGGAATATTATTATTGTAGATCAACTAGCACTAAACAATACCTTTTACCAGAGTGGCAGTCTAAAAAAATTATACAAATTTAATGTTGATGACTGGTGTAAAATAAAATCTATCAAACCACTTTCTATTACAGCTTTTAATGAAGCATTAGATTCCGGAAAGGTTTCTTTATTCCGACCAAAAAAAGACCAATGTGAAAAATGCGCCGCATTCAAAGTAGGGCATATATCTGAGGACGAATACAATTTATATCATATTAAAAAGAATGAGGCACATCAAGAAAAGGATCGTGATAAAGCCAATGAAACTCTTGTTTTCACTGTTGACTTACAAGCTGTACTGATAGCTCCTAAATTAAAAGTTTCGAGCCTTTACTATAAAACAAAATTGTGCGTACACAATCTTTGTTTCTGCAGAAGAGTTTGCAGAGAAGGTAATGTTTCTGCAGAAGAGTTTGCCACCATCTTTTCCAACTTTATCACCAACAAAATTTTGCCTACACTTGATCGAATTACTGATTACGGAGACACAAAAATAATTTTGTATAGCGATAGCTGTAACCACCAAAATAGAAACGTAACTGTTTCAAACGCCTTACTGAATACAGCTGTGAAGGAAAACATTACTATCGAGCAAAAGTACTTAGAAGTTGGGCACACCCGGATGTATACATATATTACTTGGAGTTATATTTGATGTTATAAATATTGCTAATTAATAGAACAATGATTTTTCATTGCTGCTACAGTTTTTATGCTCTCCTGTAAAATCTGTTATAATGGACTTAGCGGAGAGTTGCCAGATGAGATTTTTTAAATCCCCCACTTGGAAACTGAAATTCCCCCAGATTTAAGCTCAAATCCACCAAACTTACAATTTTGTCGCATAATTATATATAAATTAGAAAAGACTATAGACTGAAACACACTGTACCTACTAAGATTTTTTATACTATTTATACTAAAATAATGTTACTTGATACAATTTATAATTCGTAATTTATAATTAATTCCCGAATTTCTTAGCCTTCCGCTTTAGCTATATTCTGGATCCAACGTCACTTTAATCCACAGCCGATATATGGAAGTACATATTTCTACAAAACTTACATGACCACACGACGACGGTGGTCTATTAGGACAAAATGATCTATATTTCAAAACTAAAGGCCTATATTTTTGTAAAATATTTAGATACGTACATTTTTTGGGTGCCTTAAAGGTATCTACTGAAAAAACCAGATAGGTATATTATTTATTTACGTAAGAAATAGCCTTTTCTGCCAGTTCACTGTACATTCGCAAATTTAAATAACCATGACCCCCTAAAATCGTCCACATTTTTCCCCCAAAAAATTCCCCAACCATTTCAGCTTATAAAAATTCCCCCAGCGCTTTGAAATTACCCCAAAATTGAGGGGAAATGCCCCAATCTGGCAACTATTTACACTCTTAACCGACGATATTATAGAAAGTTCCGGTTAAGTTAGCTACAAATGAAATGTCAAATTTGCGTTTGCGCTATTGCCATATCCTTATTATGTATATGTTTCATGCCTCAAATATGTTTTAAAACAGTATATTTTTCAGTGGCGGCTCGTGGCCTAAAAAAGTGGTGAAGACGAGGAAACCTTGCTGTAGCCAAAAGGAGTTTTGGTACCTACGTCGCGCCCACATCTCATTAAAAATTCGTTAAAAAAATGTAGAGTTTAGGGCTCTAATAACTTGAAAACAGTTTTTAAGGCACTTATACGATATATAGATACGATTCGTTCTGCTTGCCTAGAGCATTTTAATTCTGAACCTTCGACAACACCTAGAGTGTTTATTGGTTTTGGTCCGCCCCGAGTATTTCATTTCCCCGGTACCACCCTTATATGGTAGGAGACATTCCCCTATTCGCCACCTGGGGAGGCGCCCGATGGAGGTCCAACAACCTCTCACGGGATGACAGAGGAAGACAGAGAGAGAGAGAGGACTAAAGTGACAGATGTCATAGAAAAAAATTGCACAAGCCAAATGGAGATGGGCTGGACATGTAGTACGTTTAAATGATAATAGGTGGACCAAAAGACTCATAGAATGAAGACCTAGAGAAGATAAAAGACAGCGAGATAGACCACCAAAAAGATGGATGGATGACTCAAGAAAAACAGTGGGAAATTCGATACAGATGGCACAAGATAGAGAACAATGGAAGAATTTGGAGGAGACCTATATCCAAAATTGGATGCAAGAGGTTGCGGAATGATGATGGTGATGATAGTAGAACCGAGGGCGAAGAGATACTTAAACAAAAAAAGGAGTATTAGATAGACTAATAGAACTGACTTCTAGTTTTTATAAATCAAGTCAGTCTCTTAAGGAGGCAACTCTATCAATAATATCCTCGTAGAAAAGATGCTTCTGCATAAGTTCATTCAACAGTTCCTTTTATGAACTATAACAGTCAAACTGGATAGTCTATCTTGTGAAATAATGTTTCTTGTAAAAGTTTTTAACCTTTTTAAGCACGAAACACTTCTGTCTATGGAAACGCTTGTCGATGAAATTGTCAGAATTAAACAAAATAAATTAAAGACTTCTTCAACAATGTCTTTAATTGGTTGTAACTGTATAACAAATTCTTTCAAATTCACATTTTTGTAATTTTCGTCGGCATAAAGAAGGCAGAGCTTACTTTTAAGTCTTTGATGTTTAGTCATTTGTGTGCCATAAAACTCAAATAAATTTTGAAAAGCGTCGGAAGGGAAGGTCAAACTGTATGACTCAAATTTTGTTGTATCTGCTAAGCTTACGAATTTTAATTTATCACAATCCTGAAAAGGTATCTACATTTCCATTAAAATATGATCATATCTTTCAAAAAATAATGCTCTGTATTGAGTAGGAATTGCATTCTTGCTAAGAACATCATATAAAATATCTGTTATATGAAAAATTTCGCTAAAAACTGTTGCTAAAAATGTGAACTCAAAATCATTTAAATCTCTTAAAAACCCTTTAGCCAGCTGAACTGATTTGCGGTCTGACTCTTCAGAATTCATTATATTATCAAAAACCTCTTTTAATTTTTCCCAGTCTTCAATAATTACACTGACTAACTTTGAATTAGACGACCATCTTGTCTCTGTAATTGTTGGCATACGTCTAGCCCATGTAGATGCAAGAGCGTACGATCGTTTTGCTGAACTATGAAAAAACGATGGGATTGAGAGGTAATAGTTGCAAAAAAAAATCGACATTTTGATATTTTCTTAAAGCTCTGTTGCAAAACGAGATTAAGTCGATGGGCTTATAATAAAGTGCACTAAACAAATAAACTTAAGATTGTGACTAAACTAAATTAATAAACACACTACATAAACTATACTATATAAAAAATATCTATATAATAGAATGAATTTCAAAATATTGCCGCTGAGAGAAATTTCCGAAAAATAGAAATACTACATACACATTAAACTAGTAGGTGAAGACGGATAGTTTATTTTTCAATTGATCTGCAGTTTTCTCAGCTATCACTAACGACAGGCTGACGTCACGTTGCCATGGCAACCCAGACAGCACAAGTACGTCCCATGGACGTCCGAAGGATGTACCTCATTAAATGTCCGGACATCCGTTCCGGACGTTCCCCGGAACGTCCAATAAGACCTAAATGTTACCAAAAAGTACGTCCCCTGGACGTCCCAGGGATGTTCATCTGGACGTACATATACAGGACTTAATACGGACTTATATAGGACCTAAGAAGGATGTATTGGGGACATCCATTGTACGTCCACATGGACTAATACAGGACCTAAATGAGGATGTATACAGGACCTAAAGGGAACTTACAAAAAACTAATAAAATAAAAAGCAAAAATAAATGGGATTTTTATTGTGTATATTAACATATATTGTTCTGAAGCAATTTTCTTGTGGCATTGTAAATTAATTACTATTTAACTGGGAATAAGCCACAATTAAAGATAAAAATACGTTTATTGACGTTTTAATTTCCACTTCGGAAATCGTTCTAAATATACACTCTTACATATCTCTGCACTCTTACATCTCTGGCCACAGCCAACTAAAGTTTACAAGCCGTGAAGTAAAAAGGGCAACGTCGCAACATGATTAAAGTTGTTATTTATACTGTGATTAAAGTTGTGTTTTTGCTAGTGATGTGCTTAGAGGTTATTTTTAAATAACCGGTATAACCGTGGAAGTTATTTTCGGATAACTGTTATTTTAAACAGTTATCAGTTATTTAAGTTATTCAAGTCAAAATCTGACCAAGTTCTTCTTGGAAGTCCCAATTTTGCCTTTTGCCCAACATCAACATAAACGTCATAAACAGCAGTAAACAAATAAACATTGCATTGCAATTAGTATTACTAAAGAATATAGAGTCTTCTATATTCTTTGGTATTACCATAGAGAAATAAAAATAAGGTATTAGGGTATTACTTATTAGCAAATCTAAGCGTCTATATTCTTTGGTATAGTGCTTTAAAAAGAATTAAAGCACTATACTGTGATTATTAGGCCAAGAATTATTAAAATGGAAGAGAGTGACATTGATGATATTTTTGATGAAGAAGTTGAAAAATCAAAGGAAATAAAAGCATTTCAGTCAATAAAACAAGAAACACCATTTAGTCCTGAAAATACTGAATTATTTACCAATCTTTCTCTCACTAATAAAAATATGTTACAAATAAAATCAGAAAACTTCTATGAAGAACTCAATGATAACTTTGAACTCAAGTTAGAAGATGTTGATCTGCTTAAAATTGAGATTGAAGATACTAAGCAATTACATAGTAAAAATATAAAATTACCAAAAAAGAAAAGTTATATGTGTGTGATGTGTCAAAAAAGTAAGTACATACCTAGTATAATAATTACATGTATTTTTTTAAGTAGGTCTATTTATATTGATCTATTAAAAAATATATATTTTTAATTTTAATAGATCAATAAATAAATACAAAACTTCTTAAACTGAACATTTGATTAGGTATATTTATCATACGAAATTTGATTTATATGTATAAGTAGTTTATATTGATAAAAGATCTTATTTCCAGTTTAAACAGTTTCAATAATACATTAGAATTACAGTTTTGCACACTTAACAGTCTACTATGTACATCAAGAATGAAACATTACTGAATTTCAAGATATCCTTTGATTTTGTGATTCTGCTAGTGACTTTCAAATAAAATTTTTTTAATTTTCTTAGTAGGTACATTGTGAATAGAAATAAGCCAATAGTACCATTTTACTTGTAGTTAGCAATAGTTTATATAGTCAAGTTCTAGTACATCCAGTATATATATCCAGTTTTCATTTAGGTGTTGACCTTCTTGTTCTGTTAATAATTCTTCTAATTCCAGATTAGTCACTATGAATGTCTTCTAAATGTTTATTCAAAGAAGATACCTCATTGTGAAAATAAAACAAACCCACTTCTCTTCAAAATGTTTGCTTTACAATATTTCATTTAGGTATTTAGTGTAGTTTTCTCAAAATATATAAATTGGTGCTTCTACAACTGTTGTCATGGTTGAACACTTTGATCCTATATTCTAAACAGTAATAGTGGTGTCTTCATGTACGTTAGTGGTCTGTTAATGTACACAAGTGTAATGTACATTTATCACTACTGTCTTCAAGTACACTGTTAAATACACTTTATTTTTATAGGAGTAAAATTAGATATTTGTACCATTTTTAGTACTTACTCCCTTTAGCAATCAAAACACAATGTTCTATAAGCTCATTCACTGGCTGCAGAGCAAAGTGTTTCTATTGGCTTGGTGAGGTCTGCTCCAGTGATAAGACCACTTTAATCGTTTCTCAGGTCAGCTGGCTGTTTTTTTGAGTCTCCTATTGGCATTATGTTTTATTAGAGGTTGAAGTAAGGGGTTACAGTGTGATTCCAGTCCTTCATGGTGCTTAATGCTATATTTAGTGATCACATCCTGTATGAACAGGATTCTAAGGTCTTTATGGAGCCTTAGGTTTGACACATACCAGGGTGCATCAGTTATCATTCTCAGTATTTTCGGTTGTCTGCTTTGAATTATAATTGTATTTGACTTGCTTGCTCATCCCCACAGTTGGATTTCATATGTCCAGATAGGTTTTATGATAGCTTTATAGACAAGGATTTTCTTTCCAATTGAGTTTTGAGACAAGATGTATTCCTAGATATTTGGTGCTGGAGTATTGAGGAAGTTGGATATTGTTAAGTGAAACTGGGGAACACTGGTCTCCTTTCAAGGTGAAAGTCACTTGGCCTGATTTTGTTTCATTAATTTTAATCCTCCACCTATTTAACCATGTCTTGATTTGAATCAGTTGTACCTCTAGAATGTTACATGCTATAGTTGGATTTTTGTTCTGTGTGCTCAATGTTGTCAAAGGCTTGTATTGAGTCTAGAATGGCAGCTGTTCAGTACTGTTTGCTTTCCATTGCAGAATTTATGGAGTGTACTCTATGAACTTGCTTTATTGTTGACCGTTCTTTTCAAAAGCCAAATTGGTTGGGTATCCATCTTGCTCTATAGTCTATAGGGTTCTGAGTTAATTTTTTATAATAGTAACCTTTCAAGTATTTTTGATGCGATTGGTAGTTGACTTATTGGTCTATATGATGAAACCTCATTTGGATTTTTTCCTGATTTTAGAAATAGTATTATTTTAATAGTTTTAAAGGGCTTTGCCCAGTAATTTGACCTTATAATGGCATTGAAGATGAGAGTAAACAGTATGATTTCTTTATCTGGTAGTTCCTTTATTATCTTTGGTCCAGGAGATTTTCTAATGTTTAAATATTGAATTTCTTGTTTAACTTTGTTTTTGGTTAGTGGTCTAATTACTGGTATAGTATTTATAAAGTCAGTTGAAACACCCAAAAACCTGCTTGCCGACAAACAATAAAAGAATAATATCATATTACCAGACATGGGCGCATAGGCAGAGCGAATAGGCTATATTGACAGTATAGTGATTTAATTATACTTCGTAAAATAATAAACATTTTAGCTGTACAGCACTGGCATGCATCGACAGAGTTTCTTATCTGTACCCTTCGCCACCAGCTAGAAGGAGACCTCCAAGTAGCGTGTTAAATATTGGTGATTTTGAATAACATATCAATGTCCAATATTTATTTGATGGGATGTATCTTTCATTCTCTCTTTCTTCCATCTATTTGCTACAAAGTACGGGGATTGTTTAAATACGTTTGAAACATTGAAGCGTGGTATTTATACTTTAACTTGATTACCGGTAAATGTAATATTGAACTGCCCTTATAAATCGAGTCGGAGAGAAATGTTTCAATTGACTTTATAAGTACTATAAATTCTCTGGAATGTCATTTATGTCTCTTTCAATTTTAATGTCTGGAGCTCCGTTGTTGGGAGGAAATACTTGAGCTAGGTGGTTGGCAAATAGCATTGTTTTTTCCTCATCACTTCTGGCCCACTGTAGTTTTGGTTCCTGTTGGTTTCTAATTGGAGGTAAGTACAGGAGATTTTGATTTGTTTCCATATTGAGTTGATGTGCTGGTTAAGATTTGTTACATAGTTTGTACAGTTTTTGTGCCTCTTTGTTTGGATTTTAGTTGATTGCTTAGCCTGTTTAATGGAGATTGTAGTTGGTAGCTTTCCTTTTTGAGCTACCAACTTTTTTATTTCAGCTGGGTTGTTTTGGGCTTTGCTACCTGTATTGTTGTCAGGTGTGGAATTTTGTACAGCCTCTAGAGATTGTTGTTTAAGGCTGTTAGTGTTTCATTGATCTCCATTGTTGTTTTGAGATATACAATATTTGAGACAAATGAATTTTAAAAAAATTAGAAATTTTTCACTAGGTATCAGCTATATAGGTATCAGCTGTGATATAAAACCTGTGCTATCAATAAATGTTCAATGGAATATAATGGCTTTTTACATTATGTTACATATCTCTAATTCTCAAGTTAACTATAATATTTTACATTTTAGTAAAGTAAATGTGTTGTTGTTTAAAACAAAAGTGTCTCTATTGTTTAAAAATCTCAATTAAATGAACATAGATGTATTGAACTGTTTCAATATGCTCATTAAAGATACCATATACAATTATGTAAATTTTAGGATTCCATTCTGCAAGAAGAAGAAATAATCATCTACATGTACATTTTGGTAAGTTATATTATAAACATTTAATTTTTAAAACTAATGATAGGCCAGTAAATGAACATGAAATATGGCAATAGCCTGTAATTTTCTGTGTCACTGTAAACTGCATGAAGATTTGGATTAAGGTTCTACTTACCCTCCACTTCCCTTTTGGACTTGTACCATTGATTGCTTTTTATTTTCAGGGTCAAAAACTACCCCTATTAGAAAAAATCATATAATGTAATTATTTATTTGTTATAGGGATAACTCCAATAACAGTAAAAATACAATAATACAGAAATAACAAAATTAAGAACAAGATATCTTTTAAATTTAGTCAAACTGGTGTTAAATAGGTATACCTCTCAGTTATTCGACAATGTCATATATCTGTGCAACATACTGTTACTACTATATATTTACTACGGATTAATTTCAGGGTGATAAGGAGAAATACCTAATAAATAAATAAATAAATTCATTTATTTATTAATCTCTGACCTTTGGCAACAGGAACCTTTAAACAGTTGTTTGAATCATCATTCCCTGATTTAGATGATGTAAACATCTAATGCATCACATGAAGAAAGCTGTGGAGATACATTTCATCAGTATGGATAATATGATAACCCTCTATTGTATTTTTTTTTATTTTTCTTAGATAGTCTGTTCTTTTGGTTCAAATATGCGTTTTTTCTATTAGTACTCTGTAGTTGGCAGGATGATTCTCTTGGCAATTTGTGCACTTCACATCTTTAATTCGTGTTGGGTTTGAACATTCAGATTGGCTGTACATTTTACGCATCGAGGCATTCTGTTGCAATATTTGTGAATGTGTCAGAAATGTTGACACCTGTGGCATTGCGGAATTTCTCTTTTGGGATGTGGTGGTTTAACTTCAACTATTGAGTTAAGTAGTTTATTGACTTTATAAATGTGTTTATTGTTTGCATTAGCATCCAATTCTATGTGGAAAAGTGGTAGTTGCTTTTTATCCTCTTTCCGTTTTATGTTGGAGATATTTTTGACTGAATGTCCTAGTTCTTCGAGTGCCCTTTTAATCTCATTAATTTCTGTTGAGGGATGAATATTGCGGATATCCACGGTCTTGTTTTATCTGATATGTATGAATCTGCATTTTTTTGCTGTTAAACTTTTAATAGTATTCGTATAATTTTCAGGTGAATCTGGAGTTTAATTTGGTTATCCCTAAGACATTTAATGGTATATAGATTTGGTATTTTTTCATCAAGCAGTTCGCGTAGCAGTTTTATATATTTCTATGGACTATTTCTATTCTAAAATGGACTGACACATTTTGCACTACCATCTAATTTTTAAACTATGCTATCGAAAAATGGGACTAGGTATTTTTGTTATTTTTAATATACACATTTAATATACACGACAAGAGCCAAAATAAAAAAACACTTAAATAGTGGTGTGTACAAACTTCAATGTGGCGACTGCCCAAAAACTTACATCGGTCAAACTGGTAGAAACTTTGATAAACGAATAGCAGAACATAAAAAGGCTTTCAAGAATAGAAAAACAGATTCGACATACGCACTTCACCTTCTAGATCATAATCATTCTTTTAATGACAAATTTAAAATTCTTCACATTCAAAATAAAGGCCTTAAGCTATCTTTGTTAGAATCTATGGAAATCAACAAATTAAAAAACACAGATATAATTCTGAATGACCAACTTGAGACAAACAGTTCTCCCCTCCTCAACCTATTTCATTAGAGACTATAAATTTGCAAACCCAAGCCAAAAATAGATCACTTGAGAAAGGCAATCAGCCGAAACCGCTGTAGTGATAAGATTTCAAATAAATTTTGTGTAAGTTTGAAAACAAAGTTTTCAGTGTTTTATTACGTTATTTTGACAGCGGAGCATGCGCAGCATGAAATGTGAATAACGTAAATGATTTTAACGTTTACGGGCTCCATTACCGTACTTCGAATAGCGGGTTTGATATACGGTAACGTTAGCAGCGAATCGCACCAATTCGTCAAGACTCGGGACTCGGAGATTGGAGTTCGTGTTCTGTAATTTTATCTGTATGCATTGGTTAACACGTGTTTACAGTTTTCTTGGTTAAGCATCTGCGAGACAAATAAAACATTTTATTATATTTCATTATATTTATCAATTATGACCACGGAAATAGTGAAAACTACAAAAAGGCTGCATTCTCCAAGCACTGATGACTTTTTACTAGTAAAAGAAGTGCAAGGAGTCAACTCTCTGGAATGTTCTGTTTTTTAAACCGAAAATACTATTTGGCTTGCTCAGGATCTAAGCTATCCAAATTGAATACCGAATGTACATTTTGTATGTTATCATTTAAAATATGATTTAGTATTAAACCTTCTATAACTTCGTCATTTGCTTCAACTAATAGGTATTGCTTGTTCTAAAATGTCTTTCATATTTCTGTAGAACATATTTGAAACCCAAAATGTACAAAACCAGACAAAATATATACCTTGGATGAAAGAAAACAAAAAAATTATTTATTTTGCTCTCACATACGACATTTGACTGACAGCTGCCAACTATTAACGTGAAGCACCAATTCGACTATTTGATAACTCTAAAATTACATATCCGTTAAACTTTATACCGTAAAAAATAGCGTTTACGTGTCAAAATAACGGAAGGATAAAATTTTACTTGATAACTCTCTATTATAACCTAGAAAGCTTAAAAGAAGATTCAACGAAATTTCTTTATACATTACGACTGGCCACAAAACTACAAAATGTGGATCGAGAAAATGTATCAGCGGAAGAATTATACCAGCAACTTAAAAAATGCATTCATGAGGCTGCAAGTGAAGCTTTGGGTTATAAAGACAAACATAAAACAAAAAATCAAGAATGGTGGTCGGAGAATATGCAAACAAGAAAACTGCTTATCAGAAATGGATGTCAACGAGAAAGGAGAAAGATTACAAGATACATCAAAAATTAAATCGAGATGTAAAAAGAGAAGTAGTGAAAAGTAAAAATGAGATGTGGGATCGAAGATGTGCAGAGGTGGATAGGTATATGGGTGGAACAAGAGTTGGGCAAGCTTGGAAAGTCTTTACGGAGAGAAGGAAAGGCAAAATCTAACTTACAATTAATAGATCTTAGATAGAACAGTGGAAACACCATTATGAGGTCTTACTGACAGAGGATAGATGTAAATTCCAAGAGATCGAAATGGATAAATATCCGAATACACACAAATAATTGAGATAACAACCGGAGAGTTAAACGATGCCCTCAAAAGATCGAAAAACGGTAAAGCAGCAGGACCTGGAGACATTCCAATTGAGTTGGTAAAGTATGGACCAAAAATAATACATGAGATGTTGGTTCAACTATTTAACAAATGCTTAAAAGGAAAAATATCCCTGACGATTGGAATATTGGATATATCAGCTCAATATTCAAGAAAGGGGATAAACGCAAATGCTCTAATTATAGGGGAATAACTGTTACCAGCTCAGTGGGGAAGTTGTACGGTAGAATAATAAAAGAAAGAATAGAATCAGAATACAAAGACATAGAAGAACAAAATGGATTTCGTGCGGGAAGATCGTGCACTGATGGTATATTCGTTCTGCAGCAGGTAATCGAAAAACGGAAGGCAAGGAATCTATCTACCCACCTACTGTTTGTAGATTTAGAGAAGGCATACGATACGGTACCTTTGAAAAAACTGTTTCAAACATTGACGAAAGTAGGTCTCAGTAGAGAGTATGTGAATGCTATCGCAAATATATACAAAAATGCAAGAAGTGTCGTTAAAGAAGGAAAATTTATATCTGAATCATTTCCAATAACAAAGGGGCTTAAACAAGGATGTTGTCTATCTCCGACCTTATTTAAAATATATATTCAATCATCGCTAGAGCAGTGAAGGAAACAAGTATTAGAAACATAAAAACATGCAATGAATATAAATATCTCGGATCTATAATATCTAAAGAAGGCACTACCAAAAGAGACATCGAAAACAGGACGCAGCAGGGAAAAAAGCGGTTAACATTCTAAACTCTCTACTATGGTCTAAAGATATTAGACAAGAAACAAAATTGACAATCTATCGAACCTTGGTAGAGCCTATTATGACTTATGGGGCAGAAGTTTGGTAGATCACGAAAAAAGATAGAAAAAGAAGAGATAACAGTAGTAGAAATGGATTTTCTAAGGAAAGCGTGTGGTGTATCCAAAAAGATCATATCAGGAATGAAGATATTAGAAGGAGGACAAATACTGTACATTCCAGTGTAGACAGAATTGAAACGAGACAACTAGTGTGGTATGGTCACATGAAGCGAATGAATGAAGATAGATGACCAAAGAAAGCTTTAAATTACATACCACAACAGCGAAGAAGAAGGGGAAGACCTTCAGTTGCCTGGGAAGAAAATGTACGACACCTAATGAGAGATAGAGCCATCAAGGAAGAGGAATGGATGGACAGAGAACGATGGCGTTCGAAAGAAACCTCGCTTATATATATATATATATATATATATATATATATATATATATATATATATATATATAGTTTTATTTTGAGAAATTCGTGACAAATTTGATTTATTGATAGAAATGGATGCAGCCTACCGCGTGCTGTGCATGAAGTGCACTCTTGTTAGGATTGGCCTATTTATCTCAAACATTTACGATGGCTTTATTTATAAATTTATATACTATATAAGTATAAAGTATCGTAATATAATTTACTGATGTCAAATGTTAATCGCTTCTAATTTATATAAGATTTTCATTATTTTACAGATATACCAGTGAAAACGAAAAATGGAAAAAGCAGTTCTAGCAGTGGATTTTTTGGAACACAAATATTCGTTTGTGGATTTTGTGGGCAGTTTCATCTTAACAAAAAACAAATTTTAAATCATTGTCAACAGTATTATATTAAAACTCGACGCCATATTGGATGCAATAGAAAAAAAACTAATAGTACTTTATACGAAAATGATGTGTTTAAAAGTGAAGTGAAATTAGAAACTGAAGGTAATAACACTGTTAATAACATGCATTTGTTGGGGCTACCTTTTAGTAAAATTTCAAACAGACGTTCTTCTGGACGTCAATTAAAACGCTTTGATTGTAGAAGGTGCTACAAAATATTTTCAAATAAAACAGAATTAGACAAACATCTTCAAAACCATGATAAATACAAATGTGAAATTTGCTCTAAAGAATATCTTGTAAAGAGAACCTTTCAGCTTCATATGCTTAGTCATGAAGAAGATACTTTTAAAGATAATCAAACTTCAAAACCGTATGTAATTTGTTATATTTGTTCAAAGTTTTTTGCTAGTAAGCATGCTCTCCGGTGTCACTTAGTTTCTCACACTGGCGAAAGGAAATACAGTTGCAACCATTGTTCCAAACGGTACAGATATGAACAAGATTTGAAACGACATATGGTTAGTCACACGGGTAGAGATATAAAACTATTTGAATGCTGCCATTGTTATAAAGTCTTTAACCATAAGGGGCATTTAAATCGTCATTTAGAGGGCCATTTTATAGGTGGGTTTAAAAATTATAAATGTGACATATGTGCAACGAGTTTTCAACGGAAGGAGAATCTGTACGTGCACACTCGTCGTCACAATAAAGACTATACAAGAAAGAATATATTCACGAAGCGAGGTCCTTTTGAATGCAAAAAGTGTGGCAAAAAATATATTTTCAATAACAGTTTACAACGTCATGTAAAAAATGCCCATGAAGGACAGCGTTACATCTGTGCCATGTGTAATAAATCATTGAAATCAAAAGAAAGCTTAGTAAGTCATTTCGAAATTCACAAAAGAAAACAAAAAATAGAGCATCTCTCAAATTCATGATTCTTAATATCTCAGAGAGTAAATTGGAAGAGTAACTGAGTAACACTCACACAGTAACACACAACGGAAAATTTAAATTAAAAATATAAAATATAATTATTATTTTTGATAAAAAATACACATTCTCGATATTTTAACATAATTTGTTGAATCACAGTTTATAAAATATTGGAATGGATTTCACAAAAGTTGTACCATGTGTAACCTATTAAAGAGCAAACAAGTACAAATAGAAACTGCACTAATTCATCTTGTCATACTCGTGATAAGGCTATCGGTCGGTTATTGAGGCAGTCTCTCCCATTCTTGAATCAAAGCAATTTTACTTTCGCTCTGTTTTGAATGTCATGAATTCATGCCATAAGTCTTCGGTCTAGCGTGTCCCACACATAATCTATCGGTTTTAGTTCTGGAGAACTTCTTCTTATAGTGACGTGCACCTATAGTACGTTGGAGAATTATCTTAAGGCCAGACGTCTGTCTTTTGCGTCATGCAAAACATCGCCAGTGTTATTTATGCCTGTCAAGTTCTTTATGTTTCGTAGCCACGACATTTGTTTGCGACCTGCTCCTCTCTTCTGTCTTCAATCTTTTCCTGGATGATTAGTTGAGGGATTGCCTATTTTTTTCCTCTCAGAATATGGCCGAGGTATCCAATTTTTCGTACCTTGATCAAATTGAATAGTTCTATCTCAGTATTTGCCTTTCTTAAGACTTCCTTGTTTCTCACTCTATCTGTCCATGGTACGCGGAACATTTTTCGCAACGTCCACATTTCGAAGGCCTCCAACTTATTAATGGAAGGTACTCTTAACGTCCATGTTTTCATGCCGTATAACAATATGGACCATACATAGCATTTAACCATCCTGTTTCGGAGATTGAAGGAAATATTGCGGTTACATAGTAGCGGTTTAAATTTGATAAAAGCTTGTCTTGCTTGTTCGGTACGGCATTTTTTCACTTGATCGATTGGAGCATTATCTACTTGCAGTTGTATTCTTAAAAGTGCGTTTTTTCTTATTGCCATCTTCTTCTTTGGGTTCCGTCTTCTTAACGAAGGTTGGCGATAACCTCTGCAAAGTCTTCCCTATTTTGGGCTTTCCTTATTAAACTTTGAAAGTCTAATCCTGTACAATCTTTGATGTTGCGCAGCCAGGTCATTTGTCGTCTATCCGGGCCGCGTCTGTCTTCTATTTTCCCTTCTATAATAAGCTGAAGGAAGTTATACCTGTCGTGTCTAAATATGTGTCCAAGATAAGACGTTTTTGCTTCTTGACAATTTCTGTGAGTTCACGTTCTCTATTCATACGCCTTAAAACTTCTTCATTTCTAACGCGGTCGGTCCATGAAATTTTCAGCATACGACGAAATACCCACATCTCAAAGCTATAGAAACGTCATAACGAGCTGACTGTTAACGTCCAAGCTTCCACGCCGTGTAATAGTACACTCTATACATAATACTTTATCATGCGGTATCGTAGGAGCAAATCAAGATTACGGGTAGTGAGTAACTGTCGCATCTTTAAGAAGGTGTTTCTTGCCTGTTCTATTCTACATTTAACCTCTTGTTCTTGGTCGAAGGTTTCATGTATCCAACAGCCTAGTATGTTTATAACTGGTGTGTGTGTGTTTTTTTAAATTACCATTGTTTTGGTTTTTTTATATTCACCTTAAAGCCGTATAATTCTCCTTCTCGCACTACTTTGGTTAACAGAATTTGTAGTTCTTCTTCGCTGCCAGCAATCAGTACTGTATCATCGGCATACCTGATATTGTTCACGATTTTTCCATTGACTTTTATTCCTTCTTGTGCTTCATTCAGAGCATGTGCAAAGATGTCCTCTTAGTACAAGTTGAATAATAATGGTGATAGTATACAACTTTGTCTAACTTCTCTTTGGATGTTTATGGTTTCAGTATCACCCATTTCAGTTCTGACAGAGGCGTTTTGGTTCCAATAGAGTTCACGTATTGTATTAATGTCGTTTAAATCCAGGTTCTTTTTTTTGCAAGCATTCTATTAGCTGATCGTGTTCGACTTTGTCAAAAGCCTTTTCATAATCTAGGAAGCATAAGTAGACATCTTTTTGTTGATCCCGGCACTTTTACATGAGAACAATGAAACTGAACAAAGCTTCTCGAGTTCCCATACCGTTTCGGAAGCCAAATTGTTTCGGACCCATATCTTCTTCGCATTTTTTGTAAATTCTGTTATGGATAATTTTTAGAAATAGCTTCAGAATATCTGGCATGAGACTTATTAATCGAAAGTCGTTACATTTTTTTGCGTAGTTTGATATAGGTATAGGCACAAACGTAGACGTTAACCAATTTTGTGGAATTGTACCAGTCTTGTATATACTGTTGAAGAGTCTTGATCATAGTTCTAAATTCTCTTCTTCCAAAAGTTGTATAATTTCACTACGAACGTAGTCAGGTCCAGAGGCTTTTCCGGTTTTCATATTTATTAAGGCGTATTTTATTTCTGATGTTAAGATGGGCAAGTCGTTATTTTCGATGCTTGTTTGTCAATGTGTTATTGTTCTATCGTCTGAGAATAGGTTTTGTATGTATGTTCGCCATTCAACGCTTATTTCTTCTATTGTGGTCAGGACTCTATCATCCGTGCTTGGGATTGTGCCACACTGTCTAGCGTTTCTGATCCTACACATTTCTTTAATTTTCTTATGGAGAAGTCTATCATCATGTTTATTCTGTAGTTCTTCTATCTCTTCGCAAGTTTCTACAAGCCACTGTGTTTTTGCTTTCACTATTTTTTTTCTTATTAGTCTTTGTATTTCTTTATATTTATTCCAGTCTTTGTTCTTGTGTCGTCGTCTCACATTCATCATTTCTAATATTTCATTAGTTATCCATGGTTTCTTTCCTCATTGATTCGTGTATTTAAAGTGGTCTTCAGCTTTTAGAAATACAGTCTTAAGTTTTTCTCATATTTGGTTTAAGTCGGCGCATTCTTCTGGTACATCATTTTCCTTTTGTCTGTTTTTAAGTTCTCGACATTCGCGGTTAAGTTCTTGTGATCTGTCTTATCTTCTGTCTCGTTTCTATATCCTTGAGTAATCTCATGTCTGATTTCTGTTCTCTCTTCTTTCTTTTTATGCTTTTCAGCGTGTTTTTGAATTTGGCGACGAGCAAGGTGTGGTCGGAAGGGACATCTACACCGGGGTAAGTTTTTGCGCTTTGTATGCTATTTCGGTATCTCTGGTTGATCATGATATAATCTATTTGGTTTCTGACGCAATTTTCATCATTGTCTTGTGGCGGTTTCCATGTGTATAGTCTACGCGCAGGTAGTTTGAACTAGAGATGACAATGTCAGTTCCATCAAGGGATCAGGTGCAGTGACTCCGATTCCGACTGCAGACTCGGTTCATTTTTGCAGGTGCAGGTGCACCTGGCAACCTTAACAGGTTTTGACAACAAATTGTAACTAAATCACGTTCTACTTTTCTCAGATCAATCTTAATTTTTTCCGCTTTACGCTTTGAAAAGTGCAATATCTTTCTATGGTTTCAAGTATACAGAAAAGTACAGAAGGTCTCTTAAATATATACTAGTTACGGAAGAAAGGCAAAGAAGACGTATACACTTTGCAGTATTTACTGTTGTAATATGGACTTACAAAAACTATCATGTTTGTAGCCATTATTGTTACTTTAATTTTATGTTAATGATATATTAAAAATATGAACCCAAACTATTTTTATTCTCTACGGAATGTTACAATTGCTTGTTGTAGTTATTAAATAAATACCATATAATTAAGTACACTAATAGATGGCCGAGGGCTGTCGCACGACCGGTAATTCCCAGGAAATAGTTAAAATAATTTGTTCAAGAAGAGGACATATCCAGTGTTTGTTTGACAACGGACTGTTGGACTTCTATAAATGGTGAAAGCTTTTTGGCAGTCACAATGCATTTTGTAGATAAATTGTTTAACGTCCGACAAGACAAATGTTACTAAAATGCCACCAACTTAATGAACGACATACTAGCATTAATTTATTAAGAGCATTGCAAACTATTGTAGAAGAATGATCACTAATAAATAAGGTATCTCTCATTGTTTCCGACAATGCGGCGAATATTAAAAAAGCAATAGAAGACTTGAATGAAGCATCTTGGCTGTTTTGCACATAGTTTAAATTTGCAAGATGCTTTAAAACTAGTTACGCCATCGTCACCAAAGTAAAATTAATAGTGGCCCACTTTAAAAAAAGTTCAGCAGCTAATGATAAATTATTGCAGTATCAAAAAAATTTAGGAACTATAATATAGTATATATATATATATATATATATATATATATATATATATATATAGTATATATATATTAGTATATATATATATATATATATATATATATATATATATATATATATATATATATATATATATATATATATATATATATATATATAGTATACAGGGTGTTTCAAAAAAAGGTAACCCCGTCTCTAGGGTAGGTAAAACACTGAAAAATAATTGGGGTTTGCTTAGTAAAAAATGTTTGTAACGCCATCCGTTTTCAAGATACAGGGCGTTAAAGTAAAAAAAATTTACGTATTTTTTACGATTTTGCCGAAACTACTGGCAACATTGTAATGAAATTTTATACGAATATGTTTTGGAAGCTGATACATCCCATGAATTTGTTTTTATATCTTATTCTCATAGAGGGCGCTAGTTACACGGATCGTACTAAGTATTATTCAATATAACTTTTTTAAGAGTATAATTATTAATCAAAATTTCAAGTAAACTTAAACATCATTCAATTTTACACGAAAAAGGTACTCTTGGTAAAACTCGATACTGTGTACAGTTTTCGAAATATTTTGATTTGAAAATTATGAAGTAATAATTGATGCTGGTATAAAATAGTTAGTAATTAAACAAAATTCACAAGAAGAAAATTAAATGAATGAAGAAGAACATAAAATAAAATTCAATTACAGTAAGTGTTCAAA